ATACAGTCTGGATCAAATAATCATATTGAGGATCTCAGAGAGTAAAGTCTGCTTTTATTGTTTCAGTCATTTCAATAACTTTGAGTTGTCTTTGAACTGCGCTCTATGAATAAATGTGCCCAGCTAAACTCAGCATTCACAGCTCTGGCCATCATTTCTAATTATGAACATCGCCCCCTAGTGGTGTGGAACCCATCTGCTCGCTTTTCCTAGCCTTGAATGTGTTCTATGCGCTTGTCACATTTTGCAGACCGTTTTGCATTCACTGCAGTGTGTTGGGCCCTGTGGGCCACCATACATCTGTGAATGCATTGTCCTGTTAGAGGTTAGATTTGCTGTCTGGGGCTGAATGATCAAACTCCTGGATATTCTTCATCTCCATGTTAATAAGCTTGGCTGATGACATCATTCATCAGGTTCACATGATGTCTTTATTTCAACTTTGATCTCTTATTATAAATATTATCATCATTTTATGTTTAAAGGAAGGATGTGATCCAAAATACTGGAGATGGTTTTGATGAAAAGTTTACAGATTGCAGAGATAGGATGTTTCTCCATGCAGCTCTGTGTGATCTGGATCGGGATCCCCTGAATCCAGAAGTTCTGATTATATCTCTAGAATCTAGAACTGTCTGTGATGGACTGGTGACCCACCCAGGGTGAACCCCGCCTCTCACCCAGAGCCCCCCATCACCCTGATGGCAGAAGATGGACGATTGATATTTAGGGAAATAAAACATGGTAATGGTAGAACTCTTAGCCTGCAGGTTTACTGCTGGCTCCTAGAGCTGTCCAACCTAGATTGGGAAGCAGGTGGTTCGCATGTCAGGCTCCTCTGGTCTTCAAGTGACCATTTGGCTTTATTATAAAATGGAGCTATTTTCTTTTTATTGGTGTTTAAAACATCCAGAGTTAAGTTTGTGCAGAAGGTCAGAAATGAAAGAATATTTTTACTAGATTCCTGTTGAAACAGAACTTTTCTATCTTTGGTGAAAAAGCAGAAATGTTTTTCTTGTTACTCCTGATTAGAAGAAAAGAAGAAATAAAAATAAATCTGAACATCATCAGTGAATTGAATATAAAATATAACTTTATGTTCATTTTAAGGCTGTTTTGTTGAAATTAAGTGAAAATTAACAATCAATAATTCTACCTGATAATAATTGAATTGAATTTGATGGTATTTTAGTCAGAGTCTCTTTATTAATAAATGATTATTAATTCAGAATAAATTATCTTCTCAGCAGTAATCATGCAGTCTGTCATGGTGATGTGGGGGGCGGGGGGGTGCTGGGGGGGACTGGGTTCCATTTAGATCATTACATCAATCTAAAGCCGGGGGGTGGGGGGGGGGGCAGAGGCTCTCATAGAGGCATTATTTTGTGCTTGTTGCCTGAAAGTGACTAAAAAGGTGGAAGTTTGCTTTAATCTCTGAGATGTTTCTCCTGTTCATCTCCTCCAACCTGCTCCTCCAGTCCAGGGGTTCGACTTGTGCTCCTCCTAGCTGCCTGATGCGCGTGCAGCTCCCCTCCTTTGGCGCTAAGTGGACTGATTGGAAATGTGATGAAAACAGCGGATCAGCAAATTAGGGAGCAGAAGCAGCGACTCGCCCAGATTTTAATACTGATGATTACAGCCAATCTGGACCGACTTGACAGACCTGTGGCCCCTGGTCCTCCTCTGAGGGCCCTGGTCCTCCTGTTAGGGGCCCTAGTCCTCCTCTGAGGGCCCTGGTCCTCCTGTCAGGGCCCTGGTCCTCCTCTGAGGGGCTCTGGTCCTCCTGTTAGGGGCCCTGGTCCTCCTCTGAGGGGCTCTGGTCCTCCTGTTAGGGGCCCTGGTCCTCCTGTGAGGGCCCCCAATTGTCCCCTGTGAGGGCCCCTGCAGAACTACCAGGGAACAGGGTGGGGACATTTTAGAAAGGCTGTTTGTCCAGAAGCTTGAGCTCCTCTGGCAGCTGGAGGACACTGTGGTTCCTGGAGCACCAGAGTTGTGAGCTGGAAGGCCTGGGGGCCCTGGGGGGCCCGGGGCCAGTCAGGCTCCTGCGGCCTGAGGCTGTGTGTGTCCACAGGTGCGCTGCTTGCTCTAAATCTCGTTTCCTTCTCATGGCTTAGAATCCGTCTGAACCAATCAGAGCGCAGGGCCTGTCCTTCACGCGGCCCTCTCAGCCATCCTGCATTCTGATTGGCTGCCGGACCAATCCACCCCCCCACCCCCTTACCTTCAGCCCGGTGATGCCCGGCGGCACCACAGCTTTCATCTACCAGGGGACAGAGGGAGAAGCAGGAAAACTGCATCACCATGAGTGGGAACTATGCGTCCGCGGCGCCCACGCAGAGGTCCACGTCGTTTTTCATTGAGGACATCCTGCTGCATAAACCCAAGCCGCTGAGAGAGGTGATGCCCGCGCCTTTCTGCGGCTCCCTGGCTTCCAGGATGCCCCTCCTGGAGTATGGATACCCTCTGATCCCCACCCCGATCCTGGCTCCGCACCCCGCATCCTCTGCACAAGCCGGAGCATCACCAGTACTTTTTCACACCTGGTGAGCACTGCAGGGGGGGGGAGTAAAAAAAATCTTTTTATTTTTATTTTCACATAAAATGTTTTTACTGTAGAGATTCTGGTTAAAATTTTAAATATCAATGTGCTTTAAAATTATTAGATAGAAATGAAAGGAATTATTTTTAGATGTGATTTTATTCAGTCTGCGCTTCATCCTAAAAACATCCTAAAAACTAAAATTATCCTGAAAACTAAAATTATCCTGAAAACTAAAATTATCCTGAAAACTAAAATTATGATGAAAACTATAATTATCCTAAAAACTAAAAAAAATCCCATTCCTTTGATCATTTGACCAGAAGTTCATAAATTTTTTAGAGTTTTTCTCTGATAATTTGTTTTATTCTCAGAAACTTGAAGCAGTTCCGGTTTTTCCTCAGAAATGATCTTTTCTTTTTTTTTTTTTTTTTTTTTTTATATAACTTCTATGTTTGTTGTTCTATGTTTCCTTCACTGGGGTCCGTGCTTCTCTCTACCCTCCATGGGTCCAAAGGGATGCAGATGCCGGCGCTCTTCCAGCATCACGCGGAGCTGCCGGGGAAACACTGCCGGCGGCGGAAGGCCCGGACCGTCTTCTCCGACTCTCAGCTGTCCGGCCTGGAGAAGCGCTTCGAGATCCAGCGGTACCTTTCCACGCCGGAGAGAGTGGAGCTGGCCACGGCGCTCAGCCTCTCCGAGACACAGGTGGGGGGCCACGCGGCAGGACAGGCAGAGGCGCGCGCGCCCAGAGAGAGCGCATTTAAAGCTGCTTTATCTGTATTATTATTTAGCTGTATTATTATTTAGTTGTATCATTAATTATCTGTATTAATATTTATCAGTATTATTATTTAGCTTTATTATTATTTATCTGTATCATCAATTATCTCCATTATCTCTGGAGTCTCAAGCTAAAACCTAAATAAACTAAAACAGCAGGTTGGCCAGTTTCTGATCCAACTTAAGGTTTTATATATTTTTCCTTATTTTTAATTCGATTAGAGAGAAATTATCAATTCTCAGATAAAATTTTCTATTTAGACAATAAAATCTATTTAGTCATTTTACAAAATTGAAGGTTTATTTTATCTGACCTCGATGTTTTTTAGCTGATCGACAAAAGCGAAAATATTGCTGAGGAAAACAGAAATAAATGAAAATCATTTAAGCGCTAAAATCTCTGAGATCAATAAAAAGGACGCAAAAATACACATTAAATAATTTAATAAAATAACATTATATGATATAATGATATGTTGTAATAATAGGATATAATATAATAACAAGTTAATGAAGAGAGGGGTATATTTATATAGCTGCTGGAATCTTTTTATTTTATTTCTATTGTCTTAGTTTCCTATTATGTTGTTATTTTTGGGTAGTTTTTATTGTTTTGGGATCCGGGCAGACTTCATCTCTGTCCGCCTCGTTCTCAGGTGAAAACCTGGTTCCAGAATCGGCGCATGAAGCACAAGAAGCAGCTGCGGAAGGCGCAGGATGAGCGGAAAACTCCCGCAGAGATGGAGCGCTGCGCAGACAACTCCAGCGGGGAGAGCGAGCTGAACGACAAGAGCGCAGAGGAGCAGAGGAGGCCCGGCCTGGAGGAGGACTCCTTCCTCCTGGAGGACAACGACGATGACGACGAGGTGGACATCGAGGACGACATTTGCTCCTCAGACCATCTACTATAGGAGCAGCTGTGGAAGATTCCTCCTGCCGAGGCAGTGTGAGATTATTATTGTTACTATTATGATTATTATTATTATTATTATTATTATTATTATTACTATTATTATTATTGTTACTATTATGATTATTATGATTATTATTATTATTATTATTATTATTATTATTATTATTATTATTATTATTATTATTATTATTACTATTATTATTATTATTATTATTATTATTATTATTATTATTATTATTATTATTATTATTATTATTGCTATTATTATTATTGTTATTGTTATTGTTATTGTTATTATTATTATTATTATTATTGCTATTATTATTATTGTTATCATCATCATTATTATTATTATTGTTGTTATTTTTATTGCTATTACTATTATTATTATTAATATTATTGTTATTCTCTAAAGCTGTTAAATTGCTGTTATTTTTTTGTATTTGTGTATATTTCTGTAAATAGCTCTTTGTAATATAAACGCAGTGTTTTTCCGCCCCTCTACATTTGCACTTTCATCCCAGACAAAAAAACAAACAAACAAAATAAATCTTTAATTGCTCATTTATTTTCTCATGTTTGAATGTAATTTACAGTTTATTCACTTTGTTGGAAAATGTCTGTAAATCTATTGAGACCTTTTTGTTTTTTACTGGGAAATGTCTCATTGATATCAATAATTCTGTTATTAATCCTTCTGATTCCATCCGTTTGATTTTTCATTTTTAAACATTTTATAGCCTGTTAAAATGTTCCTGTTTATAAATGGAAACCATCGGTGGACTGATGTGTTTCCAAAGCGGGTTTTGTGGGCGGAGCCTCTTCACTTCAATGATCGGCTCATGTTGATTTATTAGATTTTATAGATATGTTGTCTTTATGATCAAAAACCAGTTTCCAGATGGAATCAGATGATTTTAAAAAATAAGAACCTTTTTAACTTTTTACCTCCTAAATATATAAAATGAATCTGAATGGATCCATTCTCTGTAAATTGGATTTTCTTACCCTGTAAAAATGTGTTGGTTATTTTTGGCTGCAGGGAAGGAATTCAACTTTAAAAGGTTCCAGAAAAGATTTTTATTTGAAACCATTTTCCCTCCTTGATGATTTCAGAGGAATAAAAGCAGATCTTTCTAAAGCTTCACTGGCTTTTATCGGTTCTTAGAAAAGTCAAAACCTTTTATTTTATTTTTTCATGATATGAATGTTTGTAATTCACACTAATTCTGCTAAGAACATATTTTAGTTTAATGAACGTTTAACTCCTAATTAAATATTAACACATTTCTAACATCAGAAATAATTCACTAATACTAAATATTTTAAATGGGAATAAACTGATTTAGATAAAACCAAAACTTTTAGTTTGACTCCAGTGGCTCCAATTAATCTGACAGGAAATAAAATCAATTTAACCAGCAGCATCCCATCAGCTTCACCCAGTGTTCCCATCAATGCATCAGTTTCACCCAGTGTTCCCATCACTGCATCAGCTTCACCCAGTGTTCCCATCAATGCATCAGCTTCACCCAGTGTTCCCATCACTGGACCAGTTTCACCCAGTGTTCCCATCACTGGACCAGCTTCACCCAGTGTTCCCATCAATGCATCAGCTTCACCCAGTGTTCCCATCAATGCATCAGTTTCACCCAGTGTTCCCATCACTGGATCAGCTTCACCCAGTGTTCCCATCACTGGACCAGCTTCACCCAGTGTTCCCATCACTGGACCAGCTTCACCCAGTGTTCCCATCACTGGACCAGCTTCACCCAGTGTTCCCACCACTGGACCAGCTTCACCCAGTGTTCCCACCACTGGACCAGCTTCACCCAGTGTTCCCATCACTGGACCAGCTTCACCCAGTGTTCCCATCACTGGACCAGCTTCACCCAGTGTTCCCATCACTGGACCAGCTTCACCCAGTGTTCCCATCACTGGACCAGCTTCACCCAGTGTTCCCATCACTGGACCAGCTTCACCCAGTGTTCCCACCACTGGACCAGCTTCACCCAGTGTTCCCACCACTGGACCAGCTTCACCCAGTGTTCCCATCACTGGACCAGCTTCACCCAGTGTTCCCACCACTGGACCAGCTTCACCCAGTGTTCCCATCACTGGACCAGCTTCACCCAGTGTTCCCATCACTGCATCAGCTTCACCCAGTGTTCCCATCACTGGACCAGCTTCACCCAGTGTTCCCATCACTGCATCAGCTTCACCCAGTGTTCCCATCACTGGACCAGCTTCACCCAGTGTTCCCACCACTGGACCAGCTTCACCCAGTGTTCCCATCACTGCATCAGCTTCACCCAGTGTTCCCACCACTGGACCAGCTTCACCCAGTGTTCCCATCACTGGACCAGTTTCACTCAGTGTTCCCATCACTGGATCAGCTTCACCCAGTGTTCCCACCACTGGACCAGTTTCACCCAGTGTTCCCATCACTGGATCAGCTTCACCCAGTGTTCCCATCACTGGACCAGCTTCACCCAGTGTTCCCATCACTGGATCAGCTTCACCCAGTGTTCCCATCACTGGATCAGCTTCACCAAGTGTTCCCATCACTGGACCAGCTTCACCCAGTGTTCCCATCACTGGACCAGCTTCACCCAGTGTTCCCATCACTGGATCAGCTTCACCCAGTGTTCCCACCACTGGACCAGTTTCACCCAGTGTTCCCATCACTGGACCAGTTTCACCCAGTGTTCCCATCACTGGATCAGCTTCACCCAGTGTTCCCACCACTGGACCAGTTTCACCCAGTGTTCCCATCACTGGATCAGCTTCACCCAGTGTTCCCATCACTGGACCAGCTTCACCCAGTGTTCCCATCACTGGATCAGCTTCACCCAGTGTTCCCATCACTGGATCAGCTTCACCCAGTGTTCCCATCACTGGACCAGCTTCACCCAGTGTTCCCATCACTGGACCAGCTTCACCCAGTGTTCCCATCACTGGACCAGCTTCACCCAGTGTTCCCATCACTGGACCAGCTTCACCCAGTGTTCCCATCACTGCATCAGCTTCACCCAGTGTTCCCATCACTGGACCAGCTTCACCCAGTGTTCCCACCACTGGACCAGCTTCACCCAGTGTTCCCATCACTGCATCAGCTTCACCCAGTGTTCCCACCACTGGACCAGCTTCACCCAGTGTTCCCACCACTGGACCAGTTTCACCCAGTGTTCCCATCACTGGATCAGCTTCACCCAGTGTTCCCATCACTGGACCAGCTTCACCCAGTGTTCCCATCACTGGACCAGCTTCACCCAGTGTTCCCATCACTGGATCAGCTTCACCCAGTGTTCCCATCACTGGATCAGCTTCACCCAGTGTTCCCATCACTGGACCAGCTTCACCCAGTGTTCCCATCACTGGATCAGCTTCACCCAGTGTTCCCATCACTGGACCAGCTTCACCCAGTGTTCCCACCACTGGACCAGCTTCACCCAGTGTTCCCATCACTGGACCAGCTTCACCCAGTGTTCCCATCACTGGATCAGCTTCACCCAGTGTTCCCACCACTGGACCAGCTTCACCCAGTGTTCCCACCACTGGACCAGCTTCACCCAGTGTTCCCACCACTGGACCAGCTTCACCCAGTGTTCCCATCACTGGACCAGCTTCACCCAGTGTTCCCACCACTGGACCAGCTTCACCCAGTGTTCCCACCACTGGACCAGCTTTACCCAGTGTTCCCATCACTGGATCAGCTTCACCCAGTGTTCCCATCACTGGATCAGCTTCACCCAGTGTTCCCATCACTGGACCAGCTTCACCCAGTGTTCCCATCACTGGATCAGCTTCACCCAGTGTTCCCATCACTGGATCAGCTTCACCCAGTGTTCCCATCACTGCATCAGCTTCACCCAGTGTTCCCATCACTGCATCAGCTTCACCCAGTGTTCCCATCACTGGACCAGCTTTACCCAGTGTTCCCACCACTGGACCAGCTTTACCCAGTGTTCCCACCACTGGACCAGCTTTACCCAGTGTTCCCATCACTGGATCTTAAACTGGATGGAGAACACCTCCACATCCCATAATGTAGCTTCAGAGGTTAAACTCTTGGTCAGATGATCCTCAGAGAGGAACATGCTGAAGAACAGGATCTACATGTAAATAAAAAATAAAGGTTTCATTGTTTTGCATAAAGACTGATTATCATCATCATCAGATCAAAGGAAAAAGAAGCATCATTCATCTTTATGCTTTGATAGAGAAAAACCAAACAGAGCAGCTTAATGGAGCAGAAGCCTTCTGACAGGAGAAAGCAGAGAATCTAAAACTCCACCAAGAAGTTCTTCAACACATTTCACCACATTCAGCTTGTGGAAAAGAGCCATCAGTTGGACGGAGGCAGAGGAGAGCGGAGAGACAGAAGAGAAGCAACAAAGCTCCTGATGGGAGAAGAACAGGAACTCAGAGCAACCCAAAGACTGACGAGTCGGAGGAGACCGGACCTTTGCTTTGGTTCTGATCCAATGGAACACATCCAGGTTAGTCCTAATAGCAGCAGTGAAGAGCTGTGATGGAGACATTTTCTGGATTTATTCAGGTTTCCTCACCTGCTGAGAGGAAACATCTGATCCAACATTAAAGAAAGCAGCGCTGCTTTTTAGAACATGGTGCTTTAAATAACCAAAAACAACAAAAACATTATTTTCTCCTGATTTATTGCTTCACTTTTAGTCCTAGTACTTAATCCATCATTTTGCTCTAAATAATATAATTCAGAGATTACATCAAAAGCTTTCCTCTAGGAGCAACAATAGGATGATAATTTTCTGTCAAAATGCAAAATTGACCCTGGAAATGATTTCAAATAGTTTAGAATAATTCTATAATTTATCAATCAGAGACTGATGATACAATAATCCCACTGATTATGGATTAGTCGGACTGATTATTCATTAATCCAATTGGTCAGTCATTAATCCGACTGATTATTCATTAATCCAATTGGTCAGTCATTAATCCGGCTGATTATTCATTAATCTGGCTGATTATTCATTAATCCAATTGGTCAGTCATTAATCCGACTGATTATTCATTAATCCAATTGGTCAGTCATTAATCCAACTGATTATTCATTAATCCACTTGGTCAGTCATTAATCCGACTGATTATTCATTAATCCGGCTGATTATTCATTAATCCAATTGGTCAGTCATTAATCCGACTGATTATTCATTAATCCAATTGGTCAGTCATTAATCCGACTGATTATTCATTAATCCAATTGGTCAGTCATTAATCCGACTGATTATTCATTAATCCAATTGGTCAGTCATTAATCCGACTGATTATTCATTAATCCAACTGATTATTCATTAATCCAATTGGTCAGTCATTCATCCGACTGATTATTCATTAATCCGACTGATTATTCATTAATCCGGCTGATAATTCATTAATCCAATTGGTCAGTCATTAATCCGACTGATTATTCATTAATCCAATTGATCAGTCATTAATCCGACTGATTATTCATTAATCCAATTGGTCAGTCATTAATCCGACTGATTATTCATTAATCCGGCTGATTATTCATAAATCCAATTGGTCAGTCATTAATCCAACTGTCAGTCATTAATCCAATTGGTCAGTCATTAATCCGACTGATTATTCATCAGTCCGACTGATTATTAATTAATCTGACTGATTATTCATTAATCCAATTGGTCAGTCATTAATCCGACTGATTATTCATTAATCCGACTGATTATTCATTAATCCAATTGGTCAGTCAATAATCCAACTGATTATTCATTAATCCAATTGGTCAGTCAATAATCCGACTGATTATTCATTAATCCGACTGATTATTCATTAATCCAATTGGTCAGTCATTAATCCCACTGATTATTCATTAATCCGACTGATTATTCATTAATCCGACTGATTATTCATTAATCCCACTGATTATTCATTAATCCAATTGGTCAGTCAATAATCCGACTGATTATTCATTAATCCGACTGATTATTCATTAATCCCACTGATTATTCATTAATCCAATTGGTCAGTCATTAATCCCACTGATTATTCATTAATCCGACTGATTATTCATTAATCCAATTGGTCAGTCATTAATCCCACTGATTATTCATTAATCCGACTGATTATTCATTAATCCAATTGGTCAGTCATTAATCCCACTGATTATTCATTAATCCGACTGATTATTCATTAATCCCACTGATTATTCATTAATCCAATTGGTCAGTCATTAATCCCACTGATTATTCATTAATCCGACTAATTATTCATTATTCCGACTGATTATTCATTAATCCAATTGGTCAGTCATTAATCCCACTGATTATTCTTAATCTGATTATTTGGAACCTTGTCCAGCATGAGTCCCAGACAAGGAACATCCACTCTAACGTTCTGCTCTCTCTGCTTTTTCTCATAGTAGCTTCATCTGGTCTGTTCCTGTTTGGCTGTGACTCCATCCTGGAGAGAAATATCAGCTGTGCTGCTGCCATCAACACCTTTGTTTCTAGATGTTGGAGCTTGGACTGTTTTCCAGTGTAGTCCTGTTTCTCTGACTGTGACTAACTGGATGTGCTCTCTTCATCCTCTGACATGGGAGCTGGCTCGGAGCTCGTCTGCCTGGCTGTGTGTTTCCTGGACGGGGCCGCCTGTGGAGCTGGTTGACAGTTGCCTTTTGTATCTATGCTTCTTTTTCTATGTCTGCTTCTGTCTCCTTGAACCCCAGTGGGCCTCAGCAGATGGCCGCTCACACTGAGCCTGGTTCTGCTGGAGGTTTCTTCCTGTTCAAAGGAAGTTTTTCCTCTCCACTGTCGCTACCAGCATGCTTAGTGCGAGGGATTGCTGAAGAGTCAATGAGTCGATGCAATCAAATATAATTTCTGCAAGATCATTCAGGGCAAAAATATCAATGACTGACTATGAATATTCATTAATCTTACTGTGATTATTTATTAGTCTCTGCTTTGTCAATAAACCTGACCAGATTACCAGATTTTAATCCCGGAAACAGATTAAAAAAGACTCCATCTGTTACATGTAGATCCTCTTTGCTCTTTGTCCTTCACTCACCATCTTTTGTAGACTTTAAAAAGCAATTCATGTCTTCAGCAAAATGTGATTCTGATAAGCGTGCGGTGAGGAGGAAACAAACTCTCTCTCTCTCTCTCTCTCATCCACCCACCCTCACAGAATAGGCCAGGCAGAAGGTGATCAATTAAAAGATTAAGTGTTTTGCAACACATGGACGCATCTGCATTTGGGCCTAATAGCAGGGCCATCAGCTCATTTTCAGGAGTCCTGCCGCCAATTGAAAGCACACTTCGCACATCAAAGCATCCATGTCTGCCTTTGCTTCCCGATGAACACAGAGAGATGCTAATTTGCTCTCCTTCATGTTTAGTGGTGAAAGACTCCTTCAATTAACTGCATTTCAATGGCAAAAAATGAGTGGGTGGGAGGTAAAAAAGAGACACAGCTGGGACAGGCAGCGATTCTCATCAGATTAAAAAGGCCGAGGCCATTTGTTTTCAACTGAGCATCTAAGGACTTAACACTAAAAACATAGAAACTTCAAAGAGTCCATGATGGGTTAAATAGAGACTATAATCTCATTAAAATATTGGTAAATAGTGCTTTGATAATGATCTAAGGCTTCTAGTAGTGAAATGGGCCTTTTGTGTGGAGTGAAATTACAGCTTATTATAATGCTAGCACATTAAGGGACCTAATCCATCATCACCGTGTTTCTTTCTGAGCATCTCGAACGGTTTGTGTGAATCAGACTGAGGCGATTGGCCTGAAAACAGAGAATATTCAGCAATGCCTCCTGATCATGGAACCTAATCCATCTATGGAAACTCCTCCGCTGACACGTGAAGGTCACAGGAGGTCAACGGATACAGATGTTCTTCATTTACACCTGACTGACTGTTCAGCTGCTTCTCACGCCTTACATGTGTTCATCGCTGGTCTCCAATGATGTTCAATTATGATCCAAAATGCTGCAGCCAGAGTCCTGATAAAAATGAAAAAGAGAGATCATATCTCTCCTGGAGAGAAATATCAGCTGTGCTGCTGCCATCAACACCTTTGTTTCTAGATGTTGGAGCTTGGCCTGTTTTCCAGTGTGGTCCTGTTTCTCTGACTGTGACTAACTGGATGTGCTCTCTTCATCCTCTGACATGGGAGCTGGCTCGGAGCTCGTCTGCCTGGCTGTGTGTTTCCTGGACGGGGCCGCCTGTGGAGCTGGTTGACAGTTGCCTTTTGTATCTATGTTTCTTTTTCTATGTCTGCTTCTGTCTCCTTGAACCCCAGTGGGCCTCAGCAGATGGCCGCTCACACTGAGCCTGGTTCTGCTGGAGGTTTCTTCCTGTTCAAAGGGAGTTTTTCCTCTCCACTGTCGCTACAAGCATGCTTAGTGTGAGGGATTGCTGAAGAGTCAATGAGTCGATGCAATCAGCTGGTTTTCCTTAGATAGAAAACTTTGAATCAATCTGACTGGATGATCTGGTTGATCTGGAAAGTGCCTTGAGATGACATGATGTGAATTGGAGCTATAGAAATAAACTGAATAGAATCAAACTGCATACAGAGTCCTCTTACTAGTAGCATCACTACACCATTCACAGCTGACATAGCGCCATCTGCTGGAATTCTTTTATCAGCAGAAAGGATGACAGAGAGTTTGGTTTTTTCACAGTTTAACATTTAAACAGTCAGATTATGGACTGGATTTAAACAAGCTGATCATCAGCACTAATGAAACCAGATCAATTTACCACTTCTGATTTATTTCATTTTATTATCTTCACTTTCTTCAGCTTACTTATACAAGGTATCAATAGAAGACAAATAAAAACACACACAGATCTCTGTCTCGTGATGCGGGAGCTTGAAGCTGACAGAGGGTCAGAGGTCAGCCTGTAGGGGCAGTAGAGGCCGCTGGTCAGGTGAGCGATGAATGAAATCTAAAATGTCTCCTCTAGTCAGGTGTTGTGCATTTTAGCCTAAAGC